GGACCAGGCGGGCCAAACAAGGATGAGGCCGAGAGACTGAAGGGACTGGGTAACGAGGCGATGAAGAAGAAGGACTACGATTCGGCTGTCAAGCACTACACCGCTGCCCTCGAAGTCGTCCCCCTCAACCCCATCTACCTCTCCAACCGCGCCGCCGCATACTCAGGCCAGGGCAAGCACGAGCTCGCAAAGGAGGACGCCGAGATGGCTGTCGCTGCCGACCCCAACTACTCCAAGGCCTGGTCGCGTCTCGGTCTCGCTAAGTACGTTCTCGGCGACGCAAAGGGCGCTATGGAGGCATACAAGTCGGGCATGGACGCAGAGGGCGGCGGTTCAGAAGTCATGCGCAAGGGCTACGAGACAGCCAAGAAGAAGGTCGAAGAGGACGGTGGTGATGTCGGTGCTCCCGATGCTGCCCGAGGAGCTGGCGGTATGGGCGGCGGCGGTGGCATGCCTGATCTTTCCGCTCTGGCTGGTATGCTCGGTGGTGGCGGCGGCGGAGGCGGCGGCATGCCCGATCTTGCGGGCCTTATGCAGAACCCGATGATGAGGCAGATGGCTCAGAACCTCATGAGCAACCCGGACATGATGAGCAACCTCATGAACAACCCCAGGATAGCGGAGATGGCTCAACAGTTCGGTGGTGGTGGAGGTGGAGGTCGAGGCGGCGGCGGCGGCGGTGGTGGAAGCGGAGGTGGAATGCCCAACATGCAGGATCTCATGAACGACCCTAACCTGGCTGAGATGTAAGTTGAGGATTTGCTCATTCATACGATTATGACTAACGAGATACCAGGGCCAGGAACTTCATGGGAGGCGGTGGTGCTGGCGCCGGTCGAGGTGCACCGCAATAAGATGCTACAAGTCGATTGCAATGAGTAGATCATTGGCGTGAGCATTGATTGCATCAAACAGCAGTCTTCACGATTAGAAATATGATACCATGTTCAACTTCGTTTGCATTCATGGAGATCCCGTTCTGAGATCGACAACTGTCTTGCATATAGCAAGATAAGCTGTAACATCGTGTCTGTGATCAGAGCCTTGAGCGGCATCTAATCATGAGCCATTCCATCCCCAAGGACCCATCTGTTTGTAGGACTCTGCAGCCGTACAATGCTCTTATACTTCATCTCGCCCATACCATCAAAAGCCTCTTTCTCAATCCAACTTCAACCCCCAAAGCCCATCCCCTAAATAATGCCCCGCCTCACACGCCTGGCCCTTCTTAACCTTCTTCATCTCCTCCGTCCCCATCTTAAGCACGCCCACCATACACGCCGTCTCCTTTCCCTCTGCCTCAATAACCACCACCTCGCCCTCCTTCAGATCCTGCGCCCCATACACCTCTTTGTCCTCGTCACTTAACTCCGGGCCTGGTAAGCGGCCTCCCGGCGATGTTAGACCGGGCGCCATTAGTGTGGCGCCGGAGAGCACGAAGCGGATGGCGCCGCGGTCGATGCGCAGCCGGTGGAAGGCGAAAGGGTATTTGTGCACGAGGGTTAGGTGTGGGAGCAGGGCGTCGTCCATGTGTTGGAAGAAGAGGGGGGTCGAGTGCAGGGTGTAGAGGGATACGCGGTCGGGTCTGTTGTTATAGCCATTAATTAGCACTTCCTCTTTCCTGTGTACTTTGGACAGGGTGGAAGTTTGGGGTGAGGGATGGGCGTACAGTTTCACCAAATCCAATTGCTCCTTCTTCGGCAGTATATCCTCGATATACGGTTCTAATCTCGGATATTCTTCCAGGACTTTTGAGCGGATGGCGCGTTGGGCGCTGGATTTGACCTTTGATTTTGCGCCTGAGGTTATGCTGCGTTATCGTTAACTGTCTGTCTTTGAAGGCGACGCGTAATGCAGCTTACTCTTTCTTGAACATGGTTGCGGTTGTGTGGGGGGAGTTGAGTTGTTATGCGACAGTGTTTGGTGTTGAGACTGCTGCTGCGTAGATTGGTGCCCCGCGATTGCCCCTCATAGACGCGCTAGCGAGGCGGAGAGAGCGCGTGCGACTGCGCTTTCCTTTGGGGGTTCTCTCACTTACTTTATTTTGAGCATTACCAAAAGGCGACATTGGTCTACTTAATGTCCTTGTCCAATCTGCACACACATTGCTGCCTTCAAAGCTATGCGAACAGCATCCCCGCTCAGGACTCGAGTCGCATCTTCCGTATCTACGCATCACCCCAACTTACGCAAGTGGTATACAAGTTTTATTTTCTATCTATCATCGGTCAAAGCTGCAGTCGCATAGATATGGCACCATAAGTTGACCATCAGTGGATATCTATGGCCAACGGACGTGGTATGCAAGCCACCGCGCAACTCGACGTCATCAGGCTGAGAGTCAGCCTTCTTCGCTCAGTGTCAGCTCTCCTTACCATCTCACCATTCACTCAAACGCCTCCTAGCAGCTTGAGACCTCTATGAACTATCATTCTCCGTTTTACGGCACTCACCACTAAATTTGGGCCAGTAGTCAGGGCGGGGGTACCATGTCTAGCGATATAGCAGACCGCGAAACCACAGAGGATTATGATCATGAACAAGAATTCGACTGCGCAATGTGTCGAATCACATGGTCTCTAAGTTCAGGTTTTCACAATCCCAAGTCTACATATGCAAAGCTGCTACGCACAGCAGCCGATGGATGCGAGCTATGCGAGCTTCTCTGCCGAGTTAGCGAGACGGCTTGCACGGGCGCAAATACGATAATTCAAGATGATGATGTTGTAAGTGCGAGGAAACGAGATCGTGGACATGCAAGACCAGCTCTTCTGGAAGTGAGCAGAAAGGGGACACGAGGTACGTTCAGAGATTACTCCACTTTCGCCTAACTCACTACATGCCAGGTACTGATACGGTAAATTACCACTGCTATCGTTTACTTTTCTATACCGTATTAGGTAGGGCAGACATCGCCTATGAGGATATTCGAGGCGGCCGCATTGGTTGCTCACTGACGAATCGTAGGGGACAGCTGCCCCTGGCCTTTCCTGACTTCACGTCACATACCCGATGAGAACGCCAGCATTCAGGACTGTGCTCAATCAATCAATCGCATACTGAACATATGCAATACTAATCATATCACCTGCAAAGCTGGTGGTCTACAGCAAATCTTGGGGGGTTCGGAGACACCTCGGTTTATCCCAAAGCGGCTGCTACACGTCGGCAGTGACAGCATGTCGTTCCACCTCCGACTACATGAAACAACAACTGATGTGGCATCTTTAGAAGAAGTTGATCTTCGGTACACCGCTCTAAGCCACTGCTGGGGCTCTACCCCGATCATCAAGACCACAACTGATACAATGTCTGGGTTCAAGACGGAAGGTATTAGCTGGGCAGGGTTACCGAAGACGTTTCAAGAGGCTATACTGTTGACGCGTGAACTTGGTATCAACTATATTTGGATCGATTCCTTGTGTAAGTGACCTCGAAATGCAAGCCACACAGTCAATTGTACTGAAACTTCTTACTACGACAGGCATTTTACAAGACTCAGTGGACGACTGGGCTCACGAAGCCTCTCAAATGGCTAGAATATTCTCGAATGCGAACCTCACGATTGCTGCATCTGCAGCTGAGAACGGACACCAAGGACTACTAAATCGTCGTCGCACCACTCGAAAGCTCGACGCAATTCATAATGACACAGTATTCCCCGTTTATGTCCGCAAGGAGAGGGAGCATGAATTCACAGACGATGGCATTGGTACTTTCCACTCGTCCGACTTGCCATTACGTAATCGCGCATGGTGCATGCAAGAAGAGTTGCTCTCTGTCAGAATTGTTTACTTTACAGAGGATGAGGTTGTGTTCGTCTGTCGTACAGCTACAATTTGCGAATGCTCCCCTCACTGGCAGTCTCGATATCAGTTACCCCCAATCGTCGGTACTGATCTCATGGATCCGGGTGAGGTTTGGAACAACATTGTAAACCACTACACAGGACGCCGGATCAGTTTCTGCAAAGACAGGTTACCAGCGCTATCTAGTTTGACGCCTTTCTTCGAGAACGACTTGGGTCGCTATCATGCAGGGCTTTGGGAATACTGTCTGCCGGACAGCTTGCTTTGGTGGACTCAACGCGGTAAACGCTCCCAACCAGAACGTAATTCCAGGTCTCGGCCACCGTCCTGGTCTTGGGCATCTGTCGAAGGCGTAATCCACTACTCTAGAGCCTATGAATATCAAGATAATATAGCCGAGGTCATCGACGTCTGCACTCATCCCAGTACAGTCGATCCCAGAGGTATGCTATCTGGGGGCCAAATCACCTTACGAGCGCCACTATTACCATTGAGGGGGATATGGGACGAATGTGGCAACGTATGGCAGGAATTCCTGGAATATTATAGCGGCGAACGCACATTTGACTCCTGTTTCGCCTGCAGTTCGGGTTGGGCCTCGAACTTTCCATGGCTTCAAAAAGACGACTGCTACTGCGTGCTCGACGACCCAACCGGCCCACTCATGTTGCTTCCAAATCGCGTCATCGATACACCCATATTCTTCTTGATAATCCGCACAATGGATCACTCGGATCCGATTGAGGTTTTTCCTTATCCTGAAGGCTATCAGTTTCTGGGCCTGCTGCTCAAACCGCTCGAACACCTCGACCAGATTCAGGCAAAGGCAATGGAGAATTCGGAAAGCAAGCTTTCGTTTGTGAGGGTCGGGTTTGGCATGATGCATCTGAGCGAAGAGGACGGTGAGGAGGCACTTCACCGCTTTGGGAACACGACTGTAACTATCTTTTGACTGCGGATCTGTACTTCACGTCTCACATTCAACTTTGATTAAAACTCCTATTCTGTTTCCACATAACACACGAATTGAAAAGATAAGAAATGGGAAAAATGCACGAGTACACAGTCACGCTTTGCCCTAGAGAACCACGTAGTGTATGCGTTGGTATAAGTCTCCAATCAAATCTTCCTCACTAGTATGTATAGCAGTAGCAGCGATATCATCACATCTCCACCTACCTCTACCCCTCCTCAAGGCAACCCCCTCCCACTATTAACCGCATCCGCCAACATACTAGTCCCAGGTCTATTCTCCGCATACCGCTCATAACTATCCAAATAAAGCTCATCGGTACTCGTCGTCATCTTGACACTCCTCTCCGCCTCAATCGCCTCAATCCACCTCTTCCACCTACTCCCTTCTTCCGCCTCAGGCCACCCCCTATACGGACCCAACACCCGCCTTAGCCGAAGAACCCAGGGCGCTATCTGCACATCCACGAACGAGATGTGGGCACCGAGGAAGAAAGGCCCAGTAGCATCTGCGGCATCAACGAGTTTCCCGATCTGATCCCTAAGTTCCTTCGCATGAGACACTTGTTCACCAGCGTCTTGGCACTGAAGTAATTTATAAAACCACGGAATAACATTCCGGTTTATATGGTCTGACCAGAGGCGCGAAGTAGCGCGTGTTTGCGCATCGGGCGGTAGAAGCTGAGGTCCAGCTTGCAGGTCTTCGAGATACTCCATTATAACCGTTGATTCGTGGGTCGACCATGTAGGGCCGTGGCGGAGGGCGGGGACGAGACCGCGCGGGTTGACGTCGAGGAGGGATTGCGGTTTCTTGTAGGGATCGACTTCGATGTATTGGTAGGGGATTTGCTTGTGCTCGAGGGAGATCCAGACGCGTTGGACGAAGGGGCTGGGTGGGGTTAGTTAGTGGGTTGGGCGTGGGAGGTGGAGTTGGGGAGGTGTGGCTTACCAGAACGCGCTGCCGTATAATTTTAGGTCGTCTTCTTTGGAATGGTTCTTGACTGTTGCCAAGGCATTGCCGGTGGCTTTCTTGTGGTACGTCTTTTTGGAAGGATCTCCGCCCTGGTTGGTGTCGGTCATTTTGAATCGAATTGTCTCACTAGCGATTCGCAAAGATGGTGTTTGGAATGAAGAAAGGGTTGAACAAAACGTAGTCTTGGAGATGATGGAGCGACGAGTGCAGGGATATGGGAAAAAGCAGGGCAATGTGCGAAGTTTACAGAAAGAACTCATGGACAATGTCGGAGACTTAGGATCAGTGTAGAGCCCGAGGAGCCAGTCTTAAATGAGTGCAAGTTGAGCGATGGGCATAGTCGGTGTTCCAAGCATGCATCAAAATGACGTATGCGCTTGATCTGCGGGCAGTGTGGATCGCCATTGCATATCACCATGGCTAGATGGGTCGGTGGAACGGGAGAGCGGAGTCTGAGATCAAAGAAAGAAGTGAAGCTTACCTGCGATCTCTTCCTGTCGTCTTTATCGATCTTTGCCTGCCACCTAATGACACTATTCTTCTTTACACGATCACTCTCCTCAAGCGAATGCTTATGTGGTCCAGCAACGCCATCGCCTTTGCCATTCCCACCATTTCCATTCACCCTCTGGAATGTGTAGAATTTCTTAGACGGGGGGCCGGACGAAGGGGCATATTCTGCCATGTTTATGCCCGACTGAGCGGCCATGTTCGGAGGCATATCCCAACTTCCAGCCGGTTGCTGCGGAAGTAGCGGTTGCTGCCCGAAGAACTGCGGGTTCTGGTTCTGACCCGTCCGGTTGGGGTTCAGCGGCATCGTCGACGCTACCGGGCTCGGCGGGTCGTTCTCTGTGCCTGGTGGTCGTCGACCAAGTTGTTCCTCGTACTCCCGTCGATCAAAGAACTCGGTGATCTTGATCTTGACATCGCACAGGTCCCGCTCTCTCGCGACTCTCTTCCTCTTCTTCTTGTCTGGATCTGTGGACTTTTTGGTGCCTGGCGGTCGCCCTTTGAGTCGGCAATCCCAATAATGCGATACGAAGCGTTTGCGTTTATGCCGCTGTGTCGAGCGATGCGAGTAGACGTTGTCGATGTGAGGGAAGTATGTCTGGAACCTAAGAAGGGGGTCAACGCATAGTCCTGAGTATGTCAGGGAGTCATCATACTGCTCTTCAGTCAAAGTGATCATGTCATCGACATGAAACAGTCTCTCTCTCCATCCTTCCAAATCTGGTGGATTGGGAATGAGCTTCAGGCCTTGGAACTGGCCATGGTTGGACAACGGGGTGTCGTCGCTATCGAAGGATCAGTAGGGGGCGCTTTATCGCTACGCTCAAGCCAACGTACCCATCCTGGCTCTCCTGCTTATGCAGCAAAGGCGCTGGCTCTACATGCCGTGGTAGTGGCTGCGGCGCCGCGAGTATTGGTGGTGCAGGCGGTGGGAGTGGAAGTTGCTGGACCGGTCGTTGTACCGTCTGGGGGGATGCGTGATACTGTTGCGCGTGTTCTTGAAGCGGGGGAGGGGGCGCGTTCATGAATCGCGGACTCGTGCCATGCTGATAGCCCGCCGGCTGGAATGGCGGGTACGGCCCTGAAGGTGGGAGCGCATGTTGCTCGAAATGTACGGGCAGCGCATGCGACGGTGGCTGTTGGTGCGATGGCCCGCTCAGGGCGTACTGCTGTTGGTATACATCGCTCGTGTGGAGGTTCTGCAGCTCGGGCAGGACCTGATTGTGGGGATATAGCGTTCCGTCGGGCGACTGGTGTAGCGTCTGGAGAGCGCCAGGGTGCAGTGACCGGAGCTGCTGGAGGACAGGCGAGGAGGCCTGTTGCATGATGGCGCCGGTGTTGGACGCTGCTTTAGCCCAAGCCGTTTTCGTGAAAGATGCAGGTCCACCGTCGATCCGGTATCCGAGTAGTTAGGGTTGGCGAGTATTACAGGTGTAGACACATTCAGCATGGAGAGCACCTGTATTGATGTCGCGAACGCGTGTTGATTACTTCTTTGTCTGATTCAGCACTCTATGTGGCAATGGTCGCTCCGCACATGCTTAGGAGAGCTTTCAGCCGCCTAGCTGAGCAGCGTCTGTTTGAACATCAACGCTTTTGCGGCATTTCCAACTTTTGGCATCGGAACACATGGGCAAACGCTAGAAATGCCCCTTCACATAATCATCGTGGTCCTTCCATCTAAAAGATCAAATCCAGTCCCGTCAAAGGGACCGCTAACCCGCAACGCCATGCCCATGCCGTGACGAAGAGAAGCATAATCATGAAATACAGCCACATCTACCAGAACCTACTCTCCAGGAAGGAGGTTGCTCTTGACGGCAAACATCTTGGAAGTGACGCCTGCCGTGAAACCATCCACCTGCCTCGAGTATTGCTCCACCTGTCTTGAGTTGAGGAGCGTCTCCAATCGGCTGGGCTCCTGGGGCAGCTTAAACAGCCTCTGCCACTCGTCTTCGGGAAGGAGAGGTTGCTTTGAGGCTGTGCGCGCCGCGTTCTCGGCCTTGCGCTTTTGCTGCCATGCAGTAATCTTGGTCTGCTCACGAGCGAGCGAACGCTGGTAGTACTGGTAGTTGTTGATCTCTGTGTGGTGGTTCTCGATGCTCTCAAGAAGCAAGTCGCAAGTCTTCTCGAGGAAGGGGTCGATGGAGAGGTCGAGCGAGTCGTAGTTGGGGAAGAGCGGTGCCTGGGGGGTGTTTGGGTCCTGCTGCAAAGCGGCTAGGTTGGGAGGGAACTTGAGCTCCTGCTTGGGCGCGTCGGAAGGTAGCTGGTGGAGAAGCGAGGTGAGGAGGTGGGAGTTGCGGATGGTGACTGGAAGCTCGACTAGGATGTCGTGGTATCGGAGACCACTCTTCTGGAGGCTGGGATTGTCAGTTTCCACCTTTATGTAGAGTCGTTTATACATACCTCTCAGTGGTGAACTTGCCCTCCTTGTATGCTGTCACGAAAGAAGGCGAGAGCCTGTATGCGCGCAGGTTCAGGGTACCCTGAGAACTCCTGCTCACGTCGTAGATCAAAGCGACGGTCCTCTCGTTTGGCTGACTCTGGTAGAAGTACTGGTTCTCGATCGTGTTCAGGTTGACGAAGTTGCCCATGCTTGTGCTTGTGTACCAGCCGACGTTGTTCGCGTCCACGTTGACCTCTCGGAGGAACTTGATCATCTCGTTTCCGTATGCGATATTCTGCTTGGCGCGGGGAGCACCAGCGGCGAGGTTTGCGACGGTATCGTTTTGGCCATCGGTCTGCGCGGCAGCAGAGACTTCGGGGAAGGGGAACGAGTTTGTGATTTCTAGGACGCCGTTCTTCTCCATGCCGACAATGCTTCCGGTCGCGAGCGAGGGGAACGACTTGCCGCTTGCGGTAGCGATCTTAATCGCGACCTGAGGACTATAGTCAGTCTCTCATAGCTACACCAGGCTTCCATAACGGCTTGTCTCCAGCACAATGGCGGGGCGCACAGTGGGGTACTGGCGTTGCACTTTTCCTACGTACCAGGGCGTCGATCTGCACTGTCTTGAACAGCGCATCTTTCTGGGTGTCCGCCATCGTGAAGTCGTCGAAAAGGGCGGGGTTGACGTTCGGTAGGGGTAGTAGACAGTAGGCGTGCGTCGTTGTTAGGAAGCAGATTTCGGGCTCCAGTGACTCTGCCAAGATTCACCTCGCTTACCGCACGCTAGCCACATCAGACTAGCTCGGCAGTAGGCCCGGTCAGGTACCTCTGCTTGGAATGAAGATAGCCGTGGACGCGACTCCCTGATATTGATAATAAGGCCGAAACCCTATACACTGTCACTATGATGTAGGTTCCGACTCATCCGCTGCGCAAGAGACAACTCACAACTCCAGTACATCTCAACACCAACATCGAAGCCAACAGCATGCCCTACAACAAGTACGGAGAAAAGAGTCGACGTCGTTTCGACCCGTCTGAAGACCCTTATTACTCTCGCATTCCCCGGTCTGAACTCGTTTTCTACAATCCCGACAAGAATATCTCTCAACTGCGCATGAAGGTTATGTCCAGGCCAAACCCTATACCGGACGACACGACTCTAGTTGTCTACATTGACGGTGCGTGTCGTAACAACGTTCGACCAACGGCACGGGCTTCATACGGCGTATACTTTGGTCCCGACTCTCTCTATAATACCTGCGGTCTTCTTGATGAGTCTCTGCCTCAGACGAGTACACGCGCGGAGATCGAGGCTTTTCGTCAAGCGCTTTGGAGGATCATCGCTGTCACAGTTACATGCCGCGAGGTATTTCGCATAAAGATTGCGACCGACTCAAGCTTTCTAGTCAAGGCTATGAGCCAGTGGATAGAGCGATGGATCGAGAAGAATGGGGTGGGCTCCAATGGCAGACAAGTTGCGCACTTCCAGGTCCTGAAAAAGCTGCATGGCGACATGGTCTCTTTGGAGAATAATGACAAGACGGGTCGTCGAGAGTACCAATTTTGGCATGTGAGAAGAGAAATGAACCGAGAAGCAGATGCATTAGCGAACAAGGCTCTCGATGAAGCTTGAGCTGTATACAAACAAGTAGTACTAATAACTGTTGATGCTTATGCCAATGCAGTACAAACAACAACGCCCTACGCAAATGCAGTGGTATCCAAGAGAACGTGCTAAATGTGAATGCAACAATCCCTCCTCCTATTCCTCCATCCAAAACGCCATCTCTTATTAAGCCATATCCTGATCCGAAGCACCTTTGCCTGCTTCAGCGTTCTCAGGAGGCTCCAATTTCTGTTCCTCCTTCACTTCCTCATCTTTGATCTCTACCACCTCTGTAGAGACACACGGGGCTCCTGTCTCAACAGCTTGTTTCCTCTTTTGGTTGAGGTATGGGTTCCATCGGGGTACCACGGGTTGCCGCTGGGGTTTGCGATTGTGTGCTTTTGGGTTCTTCGCGATTGATCCATCGTCCATGCGCATCCACTCCGTATCCTCGTTATCAATATGATCCGAGATCTCTGCATCGTTCTCATCTTCCCAAATCATCAGATTGGTCCCGTTGATCTCGATCGAGCGGCCTCCGGTGCGTGGAACGAAGAAGACATCCGGGCCGGCCTTGCTGAAGTCTTGCTCCCATGTTTCTTTCTGTTGTAGCTTGAGGATGTAGTCCATTGGCAATGCGTATAGAACATTGTCGTCCTTGTCGTAAAGTTCCTTGAGCGGGTAGTCCAGACAAGCGAGCCCGAATTTACAGTCGATCCGGCTAGACAGTGGGTGTATGCGCCCACCAAAGATCTTGAGTTCGAAGGCGATTCCACTCTCCGTCCACATGTTGTCGCCAAAGAAGACTTCCGGTTCGGAGAGCAGTGGGTGGTCGTGATGCGGCCCCGACACTTCACAGAAGTGTGCAACCTCATGCGCCAAACATGTAGCAAGAAACATGTTATATCGCAGCACCATCGCTGGCTCCCGGTATCGTAATAAACTGAGCTTCTTTGCAGTGGTATAGAAATCCGAGTGTAGGCAGATGCGACTCGTATGGCACTTGTGATTAATCTTCCGCATCAGACCGTTCTTGTAATCTTTGACGAGACCCATCGATGCATACGCAGTCTCTGGTGGTAGAGGATCGTGGTGGAAGTAGAAATGAACCGTATCGATCTGATTATCCAGAAAGTTCTTGAACGTCGCATGGTGCTCTTCGGACCATGGTACGTCCTCTTTGATGCGAAAACAAGGCTGACCATATGCTGCAGATGTCTCCTCGCAGGCCTCCCTCTTGCCAAATACCAGAGTGTGCCAGAAGTGAGCAGTGGCCTGAGATGTCAAGAGCAAGGTGGCTAGTTGCAAAGCCGGTTTCAAGACCTCGTAGATTCCATCCGGACACCCGTGCCAGTTATCTAGACGAAAGATAGGGTGTATCTCGTTGTCTAGCGTGCAGACAGGTGCGGGGACATCCTTTCCAAATGCTACAGCTTGTTTTTTGATCAACTCGACTGGATCAAAACCAAGCCTGACGGGCTTCTTCTTGGTCGCATCTTTGCGATGCCCGAGTAACCTGCGGTACTTCTCCAGCGCCTTACGATCCTCTATTTGAGCAAGATGGTGGTTTATCGAGATGCTGAGCTGCAGCCCGAAGTCCTTGGGTACTTCGATCGTCGAAGGAGTGAACGAAAGAGATTTCTGATAATTCAAGACGTCCGGCAAATCATGAACCAGCTTGTCAATGCATTCATCCATGATCTTCCCCTCTTTGAGTTTGTGCAGCAGCACTGCGTTCTCGCCACGATCTTCGGCCTGCAGATCACCATCTCCACCACCAGGTAGAAGATGACGCATCTTTCTTGATAAAGTTGGGGGTGGTCCGCATTCTGGAGGTGGAGTATTCGATTCCGTAGGCGTCCAGTCCATGCTGTCCGGGTCTTGCTCCTGGAAGGCGGCTTCTGGTACATCGCCATCGTCATCGACTGTGCCTTCCTCGTTGAGCTGAACATCTTGATTCAGACGTTCTTCGATGAGTTGCGTTGTATGTACCATGGCCTCATACGCCTTCCGATATCTAAAAGGGTCCATTCTGGCGGGTGTCAGTATCCTGGAAGGGTTGGGCCGAGGTGGTTGCAGTTTCGTTCCAACTTGCGCTCAAACGTGGCAGAAGCGAAAGTGGTGGAATTAGGTAGCAGTCACGTCGAAGATGATCCAATCATGGGGCTGCCTTGTTGTTTTGCACCAGTGCGTTGCGTGGCTGCATCAGTCGAGGAACAATGTCTCTTCCTACGTGCCCTGAATGGATATGTCGCGCACTTCGATCCCGACTGAGTCGCAGGGAGGAGGCAAAGTGTCCAACACCTGCCATCTCACCGAGCTTGGCTATGAAGCGTAGGTGTGGATGTTTCGGCTGCTTAGAGGGAAGTCTGGAGTGGGGTATTCTTACTAAGTCGACGAAGCGGTCAACACCCGCTAAGCGATAGAAAGGGGTCTATCCAAAAATTAAAGCTAAATGATGGAAAATGAGGGTAGTGTTGAGTTCGTGTATCAGCGAAGAGAACGAACGGTGTGCCTGGATGAGCTGTTTACGCGCTAGCTTCTACTGGCGCCAAGGAATTACGCCGCTAGCTTTTCGTCACCGGTTGACGCACGTCACACTCCTGAACGGCATCTCATCGTCATTCCAGCCATGACAGCGTTGTCGCATCTCCATCGCCGTCAGCTCCGGACGTTCCGCAGATGGTGACCATTGCCACCAATGCTATGGACCACCCGAGCCACTCACATCACGCACAAGTGCACGAGCGATGTGCTGCTGTCGCGACCCTGCCCAGGTATCCAGATTGTGACAACGACGAAAGTTCTAGAGGAATGCCGTATAGCTGAGCAGAGATTGCTCTGGTGACTTGATCTTGCCATCTCTCATGGATCCCAGACGACGTGCAAAGGCTGATCGAATCGACGGGAAAGCGCGCCGAGCTTACAGCCGACCGCGAAGCATGATGAGCCAGCTGTGTCGGCTAAGAGAAGTCGACTTGGAATTTTGATTGAGAAAAACGAAGCCGGACGCTTTCATACCTGCAGTAGTGCGCTCCCACGGATACTGCACTCTCTAGTGTTCAGATACGATGACTGCCTTACCAGCTGTACGAGCTCTTCTTCGATCTCGACATCACAACCCACCTACAACGATCATCGCCAAGCGCACAGGAAACCCCAAGTTCTTGTGTGCCCAGGTCGCATATTCAGACCAAGAAGTTGAGTGCTTCATGTTTTGCGTCTGACGAGAGGATACAGTCTTTGCTCCAATCTTAGCGATACTCATGCGAAGGCTTCATGCTCCAAACTTGGCCTTCGCAAGGGGCCGCGTGGGTGCATCGCAGCAACATTGAGCGACCGCGGTCCGTGGGCTGGGTAGTGGGGCGGTCGTGTTGCTGTCCGCAAGAACTACATGGTATGGAGCTTTGAATCGGATACCTTTTGCATATGCACAATCGTTGAGAAGGTAAGGAACGTAGTAACCTGTAAACAGACAATCGGAGAGCGCCGACGCGGAGCATAACGCACGTCCTTCGCTTTCGGATTGTTAAGAGCGCTGGGCGCTCCCTATTGGACGCTTCAAATTTAGATACCCATGCCGGGGTTTTTCATTCTCCGCCTCATGCCTCTCCACACATCTCCGCGCTAGGATCCAGATTTGGGGGCGAAAGCAATCAACTCGGTGCGTTTCTGAACACGCCGAGTCAGAAAGCACCGAGGGTATTGCATGATCACGATAAAACAACGTCAAGAACCATGGGATGAAAATTAGCCACGAAGATCACCATATCAAGAATGCTTTCGGGAGTTGCACTAATCACAGAAGCCGGATCTGGTACGTTTGTTGTTGCTATCTTTGCATTTTTATGGCTTGCACAAAGTTTGTAGCAAAGGAGATAGAAGGCTAATACTACGTTGCAGGCTTCGGCCAGAGCGCCGCATACTCGCTGGCCCGCAATGGTGTTCAACAATTTGCCCTTGTCGACACCAACGAGGCTGGACTGCAAGAGACAACGCAGACGCTAGCATCGCAGTACAAGGTGACAGACGTGCTGAGTGTCTCCACTCCATGCAGTACGGAAGAGTCCGTCGAGGCTGTCGTTCAACAAGCCGCGTCACGCTTCGCTCGTATCGATTTCGTCATTCTGAATGCCGGCTTCGGTGGGCCCATGGGCGGCAGTCCCGACACGGCACCCGCCGCATTCGATACCCACCTCAAGGAACACGTGACTGGTGTCTGGCTCTGGCATCGGGCCGGGATACGGCAAATGCTGCGGCAGGAGCCGCGCGACTCGCGATATGGCCGTGGCAGTATTGTGCATGTCTGCTCAGTGCATGCCTTTGCCGCTTCACCCCCTCAAGTCGCTGCTGGTGCATATGTAGCGGGTCGACATGCTATCCTCGGTCTGACACGTTCTGAGGGCGTGCTGTATGCACCCCAGCAGATTCGTATCAATGCGCTCTGCCCTGGGTACATCATGTCGCCGCTCATCGCGTCCTCGGAACAGACCAAGGCTTTCATCGATAACCTCGTGCGAGAGCGTGTGCCTGCAGGCCGGCTGGGAGATGCTGAAGAGGTTGCTGATGCTGTTGTGTTCTTGGCTGGGCCCATGAGCAGCTATATGTTTGGTCAGTCATTGGTACTGGATGGGTATGTATTGTTCAATCTTTACGTGAGAAACCATGAAGCGCTGACTGGTGATAGGGGCTATTTGGCTCAGTGAGGAGCCACGATGCTGTAGGATAATAGGAGATAATACATGCGTACCTCAACTTCTTGTCGCGAAGACGAACATCATACCGAGAGCATGTGAAATGCTTTCTCCCAATGGTTCAACATATTATTCTTGGGTATAGTGCTAACACAGATTGCCTGCCGCACCGTTGCTCAGCAGTGAGCGCGCTTTGAGACGGCCGATACATGCGCGCACTAGACTGAGATTTGCGCGGACGAGGTCAAGACAAGCTGGCGCAAAAGCCGCTTTCCCGTTGGGCGTTCCATTCGCCCCCTTATCGGGAGAAGATGCGGTAGACGACGAGGATCC